TCGCTGACGCCGTTTTTTCTTGATCATACGGTATAATAATACAAAGCTTATAAATTTTTCATTGTCGAAAGCGGCACGATCCATGGTTCTCTTATTTATTGTTCGAACTCACTCTCACTACTGAATTATTATTTTACTATAATAAATCTACAATAAATATTCTGTTCGCCTCTGAAATCGATCTGTTCAGGCTAGCATACTTTTGTATCGCAAAAGTATGCTAGTCCTGAACTATATCCATAAGCTACTATGATAAATTCTGTATCCCGGATACTCCTTCGTCGCCGGGCGGCTGAAAATTCCACATTCAAAAATTCGGCCGCGCGATACTGTATGCGTCGCCGAATGCCATGTGTAAGGTACAATTTAACTACATGCTTTTTCTGTATCTGAGATACGCGCGTCTGGGATACAGAGTCCTCGTCTGAAAGATGACTAAGGCAGTTGAAAGTTACCACAAGAGAGTCCACAGTCATTACTTAGATACATTGGGCACATTTCGACAAGAATAGATGCACTGGAAATGAGACCAACACACTAACAAACAATCGAGAAGAAGGTTTCTGACGCACTGGGTAAACCAATCTAAAGGAATTATTGGTCACGGTCTGCAAGAAGCTTCTCTAACCACTCAAAACAGAGAGGAACGGAAACATGACGTTACCATACTCTTTCGAATTGAGTTAACGGACGAGAAGATAAGAAGATTCCATTCAGAAATCTTCGCCATTCTGCAATGCGCGAGAGAAAACAATAGAAGAGCTTACTGAGATAAACTCATCAATATATATTTATTAAGGCAGCAAAGGCTGTAAAGGCAGCAAAGCCAAATAAGGTATCGGCGAGAATCGTATGGAGACCGATCTAAAGGAATATTATTATTATTATATTGCTAGCAAGGCAAAGGTCATCGGAATCCTATATTTTTTGACCTTACAGTTGGTCCAGCGCTAGTACTGGGAATATTCAAACATATAACCTGTAGTGCAATAAAACTCTAGACCATGAAAAAGCAGACCGCTCGGTGGAGAAACATATGGAGACATAGGTATAACAAGGACTTCGTCCAATGACCTAAGTCAAGGTATAGGACTGTATAGGACCGTCATAGGACGTATGTGTATAATAATTCTAATAAGATATATTAGATCTTGAAAGGGTAATCTATCGTTGTTCTCAATTTTATAAGTAAATTTAATGGAAGGAAAACGACTATTTAATTTTTTTGAAATGTTAAAGTAAGTGAAAACCTCGTAATTTCACACACATTCTATTATACAGGGTGTTTCAAAAAACATGTGTCATCTCTCGTGGGGATATTCCTTAAAAATAAGATTTTTTTCCCATTTGGATATGAAAAATAAGATTTATTTTTTATATCAACATAGGTCCCATTCTGCTTTGTTTCGTAGCTACAGGGTGTTAAAGTTTTAATAATTTTTCGAATTATTATAATTTTCTCCCAAGTACTTTTAGTTATTCAAATGAAATTTTAAGGGTATAAGTGCTAAATATTTTAATGCTAAAAAAGTGTCGACAAATTCATCAGGGCCGTGCATATGGGTTATTACGGGAATATTTAATTTAAAAAAAGATGTGCGCCACTGTCTTTTTCTTTTGATATCAAAATTGTATAGACCGTTTAATGCCAATTAAAACTTATCTCTTCAAATTTTGTCGAATTTGGCCTGTTTGATGAGATAAACGCAATTCTATTAATCACAATTAATAAAATTAAAATAAAAATTAAATTAATATGTCATATAGTTTACCTAATTTATTATTAAATATTATTAATATTAGTTTTTATTACCATTAGTCCCAACTTACAGATAGAGATAATTACTTAAACTTAATTTTAAAAAGTTTTAACGTCCTGTAACTCTAAAACTATGCATTTCCATACCCATGTTTATAGGGTATTTTAGGTTTAGGTGTTTAGGTTTATTAACTTTTTTTCATATTTTTTGATGAGGAAAAATTAATATTTATTTAAAATTTTCTCAAGTTAATGATATTATTTTTTTTAAATGTTGCTGTTAGACTTCAATCAAGGCAAATTAATAAAATTGCGTTTATCTCATCAAAGAGTCCGAAATCGACAAAATATCAAGAGAAAATTTTTAATCAGCATTAAACTGCTTACACTATTTCGCTAACAAGAGAAAAAAGTTTTTTAGCTTTAAAACATGTCGCATTTATAGTCACCTTTACCCTCAAAATTTCATTCGAAACGTTAAAAGTACTTAAAAGAAGCAAATTATAATAAATCGAAAAAATATTATAAGACTTTAACACCCTGTAGCTACGAAACAAAGCAGAATCGGACCTATGTTGATAGGAAAAATAAATCTTATTTTTACGTGGGCAATCTCCCCATGAGAGATGACATGCTTTTTGAGACACCCGGTATATGGGGATTCCCATTTTAATTTGATAAGTAATCCGATAATATAAGTAATCCGATAATTAATCTCTAATCTTTTATTTTCTTTATTTCAATCTAAGACATCATTCGTTTTTATCTTATAGATATAGTACATTTAATATCTAAAAATAAAACCAGTTGTTCAAACATACAATACAAAAATCGATAACACCTTCCATTCATTTTTCTCACACAAACTGGATATTTCGCTTGAAATATACGAGATAAATCACTCATTTCCACCTAAATACATAATATCAATGTCAAAGGAAATTAACGGAAAAATAAATTGTACTTTGTATAGTGTTTATTTATGTGTTGACAGCATAAATAATATCTTGTAAGACTAAATATATCGATTTGTTTCATTTTAAACATTGAAATATAATGTATCAAAAAATTATAATGAGAAAGAAGTTCAGACATGACACACGCAAGGTTATTATTACTATTATTGAAGGATATGTTAAGATTTATTTTCTATTTAAAAGATACCTTTTAATATTATATTAATAATAATATTTGAGATTCAGAACAATTTCTGTCGAAAATGGTTTTCTTACGCCTCTCTTAAACAATTTGACAGTACCGCTTTGATTTGGTACATTACTGCACGATTCATAACACTAGGGTTCAGTACTTTCGGTACAGGAATTTTGATGTTTCAAAAGAATGTTTGAAATTTGAATCATTGATGTTTCAAAACAACCGGGACTCGAAATTATTAATTCTCGGT